CCTAACAAAATCTTTTTTTAGCATATTCTTGAAATCTCATCTAAAAACAAAAACAAAACCACCTCTAAAAACCTCTAAAAACAAAACCACCACCACAAATCAAACATAAAAGCTAGGATCACAGAACAGCAATTCTGGAAACGAGGGTCAATCAGACGTAGGCAAAATGAGCTTACCACCAGATTCACTGTAGACTTGGAAGCACTACAACTCTACCAATTCATCAAAACATTACAGCTTAACAGGCTGCAAATGCTTGAGTCTAAATAATGATGGGGGCTTTCTTATCAATCATGAAATCAGTTAAAATGTCTACTTTTTGTTATCTCTCAATAAACATGGGAAATTACAAATGTACATTTTTCTAAATTAGTGGGAAAATTACCACTAAATTTAAGTGAAATTCACTTCTAATTTTAAAAAGCAAAACTGAGAAAAGCAAAAGCAATGGTTGTATTGTTCTCCTAAATCTGTGCTTAAAAATAAAAAGATGCTACACTAAAGTTAAAAAAACAAACAAAAAACTCATTACTTTTGAACTGCTATTTGCTTAAAGACAACACAAAAGAAAATAACCATTCCAACAGAACTCACCTTTCAGTAAAACTGGAACTCACAAAACATCATACAAATGGGGAAAAAACTAAAGTATGTAGCATAAACAAACCCTTTACTTCAAGTAATTAAATCTCACAAAGATAAAATAAAAACAAGAATTATTTTTCAATTTTACATAGAATTGTTTCCACTATCATCATCATCATCATCATCATAAGGTGACGAAGAGTGAAGGGAAGGGAGAAAAGGGAAGGGGAGGAAGATCTTTTTGTCAAGTAACAGAGATTTAGAAAAAGTGCTTTTCAACAATTATAAAACTAAATAAGGTTTTCTTCTGATACCTTCTACATCATCAGCTGCCATACGAAGAAGAGATTCCGTGAAGTTAATTTCTACGCTTTTTTTCTCTAAAATTTTCATAATGATGTCTTGTGTGAGACCTGGATTTTCTTTTTCAGCCTATAAGAAAGAGAAAGCTAGTTTTGAAATATAGATTTGGAATCAGTATTTTAAAACCAAAATTTAATTGTTTAGAACCTGT